GTCTCTACATGTGACTGTATTATGCATTAATATGTAACTGTTTTTCATGCTTTACCCCTGCATGTACATGGCTATGTACCATGGAATATTTTAACATGCTCCAGTAGTAGCGCAATAGCATCTGAGTCTTTGATATATGTCAGGTTAATGTAAACATAGTATCTCAGTCACTAATTTTTATGGACATATGTTTAGTGCTTATATAATATTGTTTCCATAATCGTTATGTAACTCTTCACAAGTTTCATCCCTGCATGTAAATAACTATGTACATAGATTATTTTAACGTGCCCCTGTGTGGTGCAGTTAAGTGAAGATTTAATGCAACCAGTGCCTTCATTTTTTTATATTTAGGCTACGCCTTTTTAATGTAGATATAGTATTTTAGACGTTAATTTTCATGTAACGTGTGTGTAATGTATGTGTAATGTATCTAAGATGTTTTCATGTAATGTATGTGTAATGTATCTATGATATCTGTGTTTGTATCTTATAGTTCAGCATGTCTCCACATATGATTGTGTTATGCATTATTATCTAACTGTTTTCTATGCCTTACTTACCCCTGCACATATATAACCTTGTACCATAGAATACTTTAATATGTGGCTGTGTAGCGCAATAAGTGAAGCTTAATGTACAGCGTCTGAGTCCGTGATATCCATGCAATGTCTGTCTAATGTAAACATATTATCCAAGTCATTAATGTTTACGTAGCAAAAGTTTAATGTATTTAGGATATTGGGTGTTAATAATTGTTAAGTAACTTTTTCCATGTTTTACCCTGCATGTAAATAACTATGTACCATAGAATATTTTAACGCGCCCCTGTGTGTGGAGTAGTAAGTGAAATTTTAATGCAACTAGTGCCTCAGTCCTTGATATTTAGGTAATGTTTGATTAATGTAGGTATAATAGTATGTTAGTTATTGATTTTTATGTAACATATGTTTAATGTATCTATGATATCTGTGTTGGTATGTTATATTTCAGCATATCTCCACATATAACTGTTTTATGCATTATCATCTTACTGTTTCCATATCCTACCCCTGCATGCATATAACCTTGCACAGTAGAATATTTTATCTTACGCCAGTCAGGCGCAATAAGTGAAATCTAATGCACCTAGCGTCCGAGTCCTTGATATTTATATTGACACTAGTGGACGTGGCGCTACACCAATTAACCGTATGGTAAAGGGGTTGTGCCCACGTCCTCCGTCGCATGTCGCATGTCACACGAACTTAAGCGATTATTCGCTGGCTAGTTCTTAAGATTCGTCACTTTCTACAGTAACTGAGATTTACACAGTGAAAAATCTTATATTTAAATGTAAGATTTTGACAGGAAAGAAACTTAAAATTTAACTGTTAATAAAATTAACACTTACATAACAAAATAAATTTTAACAACCTATCATCGGATCTGTGTGCATTCAATCTATTGCGAACCCGTACGCACGCAACAGTATCCTTGTTAATTAATTATAAAAAATAAGTTTTCTCTAAATCTGCGTTATCTTACGAATTTGGGATATTGTATTTAGTTAGTTATAAAATTCTGTTTGTTATAAATAGATGATATTATTGCCAGTTGAGGATGCATACACCATTCTTGCTTTCTGAGAAAGCAAGAATGTTGCATACATCCTCAAGCCCTGGAACGTTGCTAAAAGGTTTTTGATTTAAACACCATGCTTAAGAAATTACAGGTCAGTTGAATGTTTACTTTCATATCTTGATAAATTGCTTTAGGGTATCTTCATGTGCAGAATGCTTAGCCAACTCAACAGTGTACCAGATGAATAGTTCAGCTACCGATAGGAACTTACAACAACTAAAAACTAAACAGTTTGCGTACATCATGAAGTATATTGAATTAGCTATTCGCAATAAACAAAGCATTGCTGTCCTGATGCTAGACGTCACCAAAGCTTCTGACATGTGGGGACTCATGAACATATTCTTATAATCAACTCTCTCTTCGAAAACAGGAAATTCTGTGTAAAGCAACTAAGCAGTTCTATAATATTTCTACTCAGAGCAGCACAAGGCTCAATAGTAGGTGCCCCTTTGGATGTAATATTTAAATTACGTCCAAAGAGGCGTTTTTTTAACACTTTTTCTGTTACCTTTATTTATTAAATATCACGTTCTTCAATTAAATTCAGTTCAAGAGCAATATCGCAAAATAGTTTTAAATTGAGCATATCTTTAGAATTTTATACGCAGTCTCACGCGCTGGAGATAAAAATGTTTTTCTGTACAACGTTGCCTTTGCTGGCTTTGAAATCCTTGAGTTTGTTAATCAAAAATTCGCTACAGTTTTACAAAATCTGAAATCGACAATAAAACAAATTTCAAATTTGGGCTTCGCATGCTCTTATTCGCAGTAGGATTACGTCATTCAAAATTTGATGGCTCTAGGTATCGTTGTTTTATCACAATGCGAGAAATAGACGTACATTTATGCAGATTTTTCATTATTGAATTTCTTCAAATATAATCCAGGACTCTAACATTGGGTGGCAACAGTTGTAAAAGTGAAACGGACATTATTTATAGTGAGCCGACGCAAAATAGCAAAACGAAAACAATTGTCCTTCCCCACCTTTGAGAGATTACACCATTAAAAATCACTCCCACCCTTTGAGGACTAGTGCAGAAAATGGAAGACCAACATTAATCCTGTCGAATTCTGTTTTTGTTTCTTTATAAGCTAATAAAGGACGTATTAAAAATTAAGTAATAATCCTAAGTTACTAAGAAAATCTATTTCTAAAGTTAATAAGACCAAATATTTTAGCATGTAAATTAATAATATTGAAAAAGAACTTCATGTGAATCTTACGCTTAAAGGAAATTAGAATCAAGGCCAATCGCCTTATGATCAAATCTAAGTCAATCTTGCATAAGGATGCTTCGCTAAATCTACTGCTAAACAAACCCATCTATACCTCAATCATCCTAACCGTTCGTAGTTTATGCCTTTAAATTTGGCTTAAACAAGTGCTACTAAAAAGTGTATCGAAAAATTTCGAATCATACAAAATGGTTTCTTCATCTAATCACCGGAGCCCCATGTTGTGTTTAGAATGCAGACCTGCAGAAGGATTAAAAACTGATAATATGAAAGATTATTTGATTTTCCCCAATGCCATCAATGCTAAAAAGGGCTAACCTGTTAACTTCTCAAACAACTTAAGATAAATGATAAAAACGCCCTTTTAGACGTAATTTAAAATCTAAAACCTTTTAGACTATATATATATTTTTATCGTTTTTATTTTTGTTGTTGTCTGATTGAATATGACAAAGTTTTACCAGTAAGGACTATCATGTGAGTCTTCAGGAAGCCTGTTTTCAACAAAACAGTGCTTTTTATTAATATTCCTTTATAATTCTGATTATTTCGTCTGATTTCATCTGACTTCTCTTTAACTTTAAAATTTCATTTTATCAGTTAATGCTCAATGCCATTTGAACAAAGTGGGATTGCGAAATGCCATCAATGCTAAAAAGTAGTGCAATAAGTCATGCGGAATATGCGACATATAAAATCAAATCAAATTATTACTATTAAAATACATAAGAGGGAATCGGGACAAAGATGAAACGACGTATAAATGTAAAAGACATATAAACATATATAAACGGTGCTCCACTGTTATTTATAATTTTGAAATCTCACTGAGACTATATTTTCCAATTCTGGGAGTATGAATATTTAGGTTGCATCTTTAAATTCAGTTTCGAATTAAGAATAATTTTATTTATTTTCTGGAAAATACTCGTGGGGGAACTTCAAAACAGTAGCTTGCGCATCAATGTATCAATGTACGAAGATGCATAAAATCTTCCATTCTCGTTCGACGACATTTATCGGGTCTCTAAAAATGTTTTCACTTATGCTCATACTACAAAGACAGTTTTTCATGCATTGACAAAAACAAGTTTTTGTCCATTGACATTTATCTAATAAGAAAACTGACTAATTATCTTTCTTTGCTTATAATAAAGGTTTGAATCCTCAATAGCTTGGAATCCAGGCAGCTGTTAGGTTCGTCATGCGTTTGATCTGTCTCTGAATGTACCAGGTGGCCGAATGAAAAGAACGATAAACATTAGTTTGAACCGAGTTTGAATCTGTACGAAACGCTAAGCTGCATATAGAGTTTCATATGTTTTCCTGCATGTAACGTAAGTACAAGCCATTATCCTTTAAAAAACATTCCTGTAGGAATACACCTTTTCCCTTTAGCAAGATAGATTTCTTGGGCTTTGTCATATTCAATCAGACAACAACAAAAATAAAAACAGTAAAAATATGTATAAAAAAATCTAAAAGGTTTTAGATTTTAAATTACGTCTAAAAGGGCGTTTTTTTAACGTTTTATGTGTTTTTATTTATTAAATATCATCTTCTTCACAGTTAAACCATAGAATTCAGTTTAACAGCAATATCGCAAAATAATTTTAAAATGCGCATATCTTTAGAATTTTCGATACACAGTCTCGCGCGCTGGCGTTAAAAATGTTTTGTTGTGTTGCAGTGCTACCATTGCTCGCCTTGGAATCATTGAGTGTTTTAAACAAAAATTAATTAAAGTTTTACAAAATATGAAATAGGTAATAAAACCAATTCGAAATTAAAAATTCGAGCTTATAGATGCTCATATTAGGGGAGTACAATGTTATTCAACGTAAGTTTCATTATTTTAATTTCTTTAAATATAATACAGGGCGATAACATTTGTAGCAGCAATTTGAAAAGTGATTCAACGCTTTTAGTGATTCGACTCAAAAGGCCATTCTAGACTATTAGCTCTTCTGGCTAATAAGTTGTATATATCAGTTTTAAAACCATGAAATGTAAAACTTTCCACCTTCAAAATTTTACAATAAATATGCAATTGTAGATATAGTCATTCGTAGGAGCAAGCTAATTTGTAATCAATGAACTGAATGTAAAGCAGCGTTTTTAAAACAGAATGATACTTTAAAAGTCAGAGCAATTTATTGATTCAGTATTTAAAACATATTTTTCAAAATCTAAGTAAAAAAATCTACATATCTATAATCTATAGCATATACAAGTGAGATGTAACATACAACTGGAAGAATAACAATTTTCAATAACTGCTATCTGTAAAAGTTCAGAGCCAATGGAATGTACTAAAACTGTTATTTAAGAATAGAAAGTTAGGACAGAATTTTGGTTTCCTCTGACTAACAAAAATGGTGGCATGCCATTAGTTAAAATATCTAACCAGGCCATGTATAAGAATGCCGGGCAATGGTCTTTTCTTGGCAAAGGCAAAGTCCTGCAAGCAAAAAAATAGTAAAATATTTATAATACTTATCTTATGAATTTCGTATTTCCAGTAGCTGAATATAAAAACCAGATAGTAGGTATTAGAATAATTCAGATTCACTGGTTTGTAAAAGATAGTAGTTCATGTTTTACTGTATTTGTAAAACTTCATAAAATCCAGTTTGAAAACTTCGGTACATTTATTCTTGTCTTTCACCACTAATATTCATAGTTATATATCATGTGTTAATTTCTAGTTTTAACATTCTGAAAAGTTTAATGTTTCCAAATTCATAACTTCTTTTATTTTCTCAATAAAATGTATCTTATTATTCACCAAAAAAGACTGTTTCAAAATAAAAATACCACTGAGACGAAACATCTTCTTAATACACAAATTTCAGTTGACCGGCCAAAATGGTTGCTGACGCCTGGTCTAGAGCTTTCAAGTTGGATAGGAAAAGAAAGTTAATGGAGTGCTTCTTTTCAACAATGCAAAACGTATACCTGTAACTTAATGGTATAGTTAAAGTATAATGATTGTGACATGTGATAGAAAAAAAGCAGGCAGGTCTATGGCAAAATATTTTGCATAAAGAAATAGTGAACATATTCTCTGAAATGAAGCGAGGTTTGGGAAAAAGATATAAAATTTTTAAGCTTCAATTTTTTTATAGAAAAAACACTTTCAGTTAAAATGTAATCACGTGTTTCAGCAGCTTATAGAGCTATAATTTTTTGATGATTAAGTTCGGCTATGCATATACGTATTATTTCAATACATGTATTATTGTATTGATTACAATATATGATAATGTATTATTTCAATAGATTAGGACAACATTTCTATATGCTTTCGTTGCTCAGAACGTAGAACGACACGTGTACAGAAATTATGAATGGGTGAATTGGGTATGAGATTTTATCTGCTGTGGTTTATAAGGTATTTCTCCCGCCTTCTTAGCATGCCTTCGTAGGGCAGTGGTTAGCATGCTCGGCGCGCATTCGAGAGGCTCGTGGTTCGCGTTCCGGCGAAGGCGTTGCTCCTTTTTTATCTCTCCTGCTTCGAAATAACCTAATAGTCTCTACAGGATTTTTATTTTTACATCAACTTACAAGGACCATTTTAAAAGTTTATAGTCAAAAACTCAACAATTTAATTGAACGTAAAAGTGTATTTAAGTGCAATGCAGGGGAAATCTCTAGAACAGTGGTTCCCAACGTAATTTGCCCCAAGTTATCATTATTAGAAGATTATGCCTCCCTCTCTTCCAAAATTCGAAAAATACATGTAAATTTATTTAGATTTTGATTAGTTTTTAATGCATTTTTAAAGCAAAGATCAAAAGAAATAAAAAATATTCATAAATACTAAAACTAATAAACGTAGTTTTTTGTATTCATGAACTAAAAACTAAATACTTAATAGCTAAATAAAAGGTTGATTGCGTCTTCCTGAAAATATGAAATTTTCCCTTCAGGAAGGATTCCTTCCTCGTTGAAAGTTCCTTCTAGAATGTTTCACTCTGGAAAACCCCTCTAGAACATAAAATAACTGCTCTATAACTTTTCAAAATATTTTTGCAGTGTAGAGATTGATTTTAAATGTATGGGTAGGGATGGGTATTTTAAATGTATTGATAGAGTATGATTGAAAAGTATTAAACGCTTTATGGTCAGGTTGATTTTTGGTCAAATGTATTTGTTTTTGGGATAAGGAATAAAATAGCCAATAATTATATTTTAACTTCGTTATAATTATTTTTTAATGCATCCGGTTCTACTGAAATACACAATTAATGATAAAATTACCAATGTTGTAAATTTCAAAGGAATTATTACTCTAATTTTCATAATTCTAAAGCTCTGAATGAGATTCAAATTGCTCTTTCTCAAGTTTAATATTGTTTATCTTTGAACCTTTAAGGAAGCCATATAAAATTTTCAATCAGAATAAAAAAACGGCCTTCTACGGTATTTTGTTTAAACCTTTTCGTTTCCGGGGAAAAAAAAAAAAAAAAAAACTAACGAAATTTCCTAGGTGAAGCCAGCTTCTTTGCCGAGATCTGAACCCAAAGCGAACTACCAGCGTTTTACTACTTCACCGCTAGTGGTTCCCCGAAACAAGAACTTATTTGTGCTAATGAAACTAGTGAATGTGAAATTTTTGGCCTTCTTGGATATTTTGTACCTTTCTTCTAAGAAAAGTGGTGACTGTTTAATTCTTTTATTTGAAAACTGAGTTAATGCATTTAACAAAAAATTTAGTATTTTTAAAAATTCTTATTAGGGAAACGTAACTTAAATAGATGTACATTCATTTCTTACATTATAACCATGTTTGAAGATTTCGAATGCTTCTCGAGTAGCTCTCGAAGCCGTAGAAACTGATTTGTCTGAAAAATAAAAAATTGGAATTAAATCAATATCAAATTTATTGGGATTCTTACCAGTTACCATACAATTCTTAATTCTGAAGGAGAAAGCATAATATATTTCAATGAGTTTAGTACATTTTTAGTTTAGTATAATATTTTTCAATGAGTTTCTGATTATTAACTCAAATACTTTAAACTCCAGCCTTTCCTTTATAGCGTAAATCACAAATAATAACTTCAAGCAATTATTCTGAAGATAAAGGCTTTTATCTCCCAAAATTAAGCAGTATCCTTTAAAATATTGGGTCATATAAAATGTCTCCGCGTTTTGTTTCGCCATTAGATGGTGTTGATGCCTATATATCCGGCAATACTTACCCGATTGTGTCAAGCGAACATGTGCTTACAAGGTGACATTCAGCTTCCACTGTTTGTGAAAATAGTTATCTAATACGTTGCTTGTGTCAATCAAGCAACGTATTAGATAACTATTTTCCAGACCAGAGAATTATATTGATTTGAAAATGAGTGAAATATCTGAACAAATTCATTATGTTATGCTGTTTTACTATAAAAAGCGTAAAAAGGCTGCAAAAATATGCCGAAAAATTTGTGAAGTGTATGGCGAGAATTCTGTGAGTGAACGAAGGGCCCAAGAGCGGTTTGCTGGATTCCGTTCCGGAAATTTCGATATCAAAGGTGCACCTCGCTCTGGTCACTGAAAAAGTCTCTGAAATTTTGCAACTGGTGGAGCAAGACAGCACATAAGCAGTCAGGAAATAGCAGAGGCACTAAACATCAACCACATGACAGTTTGGAATCATTTGAAAAGAGCAGGTTACAAAAAGAAGCTCGATGTTTGGGTGCCACATAAATTGCAACCAAGTGCAACCTGGCAAAACCATCAATTCGGCCCTGTACTGTGCACAAGTCGACCGTTTGAACGAAGCAATATATATATATATATAGAAAGACCGGAATTGGCCAAAAGAAAGAGAGTTGTATTCCATCATGACAATGGGCGGCCACACACATCTTTGATGACTTGGAACAAATTGATGGAACTTGGTTGGGAAGTTTTGATGCATCCACCATATAGCCCGAATCTTGCATCGTCTGACCACCCTTTATTTCCGTCTCTGCAAAACAGCCTTGATGGAAAAAAAATGGCCGACCGAAGAGCTACTGAAAATCACTCGGCCAAGTTTTTCTCCGATAAACCACAGAAGTTCTATACCGATGGAATTATGAAGCTACTCGGAAAATGGCAAAAGATCATAGATAATAATCGTCAATATATGCTTGATTAAAATTGATTTACAATAATAAAAAAATTTGTTAAAAAAGTACCAGAAAAGCGCGGATACTTTTTATATAACCCAATATTTTGGATGAACTGTATGTAGTATCTGAGTTTCTAATTAAAGCTTTCCCTTGCAAATGGATCTAGATAGAAAGGCAAAAGCTACAAAACTGACTATTGCTTCAACAGGAGTTTAAAATATAAATAATTATAAATCTCATTATTATCTGAAGTAACTCACTACTATTAAACCGAAATGAAATTATTATTTCTTTTCATAAAAATATTCTTAGAAAAAATTTGAAATAATTTTTCATACGTAAATGAATTAGTTTAAACATTGATTTTTTAAATTAAAAATGTTGTGCAAAACAAGCGGTATATAATTTAGAAATCTAATTTACCGTTATGTTGGTTCATGTATATATAATGAATTTTTCAACAATTATGATGACGCAAGATACCCCTTATTTACGTATTTAAATATTATTTTACGAAAATATAGTCTATTACTTTAAAATAAGTATTTCAAGGTCGTATCAACATCCCTTCATTTACGCTGGTAATGTGTAATCTCATCACCACAAGGAGGAAGTTTGGGGATTTTAGCAAATTAGAGAACTCGACCTTTTTTCCGCAGCCGTTGTTACCATGATAAAGAGGTACGATTTTGAAGTCCTTAAATGGCTTTGAAGTGCCTATTCCAAAGTAACAAATTATAGGTTGGTTTCCGTAATCCCAAAGAATTTTTTTAACATATTACACAAACTACTTTTGCAATACGAAAGGATCTCAAATGAGGTTGCGCCGTCTATTGCACATGTAATTTCTGTATTCAGTTTATAGTTATTTTATCCATAAACTGATAACTGATTATATTGCAGTTTTCATTCAGTCGAAACAGAACACTAAAAATGATTACTCATTGGCACAAGAATTGTTAATGATTTTATGCCAAAACAGCTTAATTAACTAACTAACCTACCCCCAAAAATTAAACACTGTTTAAATTAGAAGAGAAACGCGCCAAAGTGAAATTTAAAATTAGTAAAGAAACAACCTTTTATTTGGCGTAGATTTAGAGAAGCAACTCAATCGATTCCGAGGGCAAACAGGTCCCTTTTTCATCAGGAGCAAAGAAATGTTTAAACATTTAATGAAGAATGTTTTTAAACACTGTTTGTTAAAAGCATATAATAGAATCACACGTTTACTTATTCACTCCTGACAGAAATAAAGAACGCTGGCAGAATTTTTAAATAATTCAAATGGAAAGATTTTGCTCCAAAATCTCGAAATTTCGAAATTTAATGCAAGAATATTTAAGTTTACATGTAGATTTGATTTTAAACCAGGATTTTTAATTCGTAGCAGTGAAGTTTGTTCTGCGGCAGAATTTCTAACACAGAATGTTATGTTATTACATAACAAATAATAAAGTATTATTATGACATAAAAATGAATTTAAATATAAAGAAGCATATGCTTTCTTAAACACGAATGATTAAATATATTACTAATATTGAACCCGTTTTACTTTTTTCTTGTGTGAATTGAGGCAACTTCTAGTTATGGCTACTGGATCCTTTTCTGCTTCGTTCTTTGTCAACCACTTGGAAATCGTGTTCTCAAATATCTGCGCACTTGAAAAACATTTAAATTAGGGAATTTGACATGACATGTTTTTAAATTATTTGAAAAACATTTATTAAAAACATAATCTACAATGAGCAAAAACTGAACACAATTCATAGATTTGAAAAATGTACCATTATTTGAAAAATGTACCATGATACAATTTTTAAATGGCGAATTTTTTCATAGAATTCACGATTCTTCATTTACCACTAGACAAAAGAAGATGTTAATTGACAAACACGCGTAAAAATAAGAAACATAATAGATTAAAATATTTGAATAAATGAGTTAATATCTGTATGAACGAATGTTAGTTATTATTTATGTCATGGATATGATTGATCAACATTACTTGAATTAGAATTTATGATTTGATGTATTAAATATGTAGCGATTCCCATCAATCTGCAACTGCGGTTAATTGCTTTTATTAATTCCAATCTATAAGTTATTATATGAATATTCTAGAAGGCTTCAGTTTGTCAAGAATAAAGGGATCTTAATCCAGAAGGATGCTAAATTTGTTACTGTCCTGTTTCTGTAACGATATTTCTGGGTCTAAAATTAAGCGATATAAAATCCTGTATGTTACACTGCGAGAAAGAAAAACAGTTCTATATCTCCCGTTCTACTGGGCCGATTGATGAAATTCAAATTGCGTCCTTCATGTCTTGAAAACTAAGGATATGTATTAGATTTATATACAGCACTGTTCTAATATAGGCATTTTGACACAGAATCGGACTTTTATGAAATAACATAACCAATTGTTTTCCATATTTCAATTCTACCACTCAAATTACGCCAAACTGCCAAGTTTTGTAAAAATCGCACGAATAGTATTAAAAAAATTAACTCTCAAAATTTTAGCTCCTCAATGTTAATTGTGGTATATATTTATTAATATCTCTTTTTTTATTAAACCTATTTGATTTTTTCTTTCACATTTCGAAATTTAGGTTCATTCCAAATAAAATTCACTCATTTTTTTATGATTTATTTTTAAAATTTGTAATTTTAAATAATTCTTATAATTTTTTTCGGAAAAAAATCTGAATTATAATCTATAAAAGTTTTACCATCATCTTAAAGTAGATGCATTTCTAAGCATACCTGCAAAAAAATGAAAATTTTTTTATTCAAACTATATAAATTCATACATAAATTTATATATTGGCGCGTTTTGAAATTTGACATATTTATTGAAAGCGATAATAACATCAAATGTGGCTTATACACTTTGTTAAAATTATATAAAAGGTGAGCGATGTGACTTTTTCCCGCTCATGCACTGTATAAAAAAGTAGGAAAGATGTGGCTTTTTTCTTGGTCCTTCACAATGGAAAGGAAAGGAAATTGGGTTGCCATACATTAAGAAGTTCGCCAAGTGAATTATTTTTGGCGCAAACTGAAAAAAAGAGTCCAAGATAAATTTGAGAATTTCTCCGTAAATTTCGCACCAAATTTATTTAGGGATAATTTGAATCGTAGAATCGAAATATGGAAAAAAATAGTGTTTTTTTCAGAAAAAGGTCTTATTTTGTGTCAAAATATCTATGTTAGAAAAATGCTATATATAAATCTAATATATATCCTAAGTCGCTCTTTCCAGACATGAAAAACGCAATTTGAATTTCGTCAATAGGCCCAGTAACAGGAGACACAGAACTGTCCCCCCCTTTTTTTGGCCAGTGTACATATAGGTCATTAATATAACGGCAAATAAATGTTGTATACATGCATGCATGTTAAATCCATACATGTATTCTGTCATAATCATCCGTTTTTTATGTCAAATTACTAGGTAACATTTTACTGGTTGTTATTGCCCTACATTTTTTTTTCACTTTCTGGGATCACTGAGGTGCGGTTTTAGCTCAAGCAGCAGAACAGAATATGTTTTTTGTGTAATCGAAAACAACACACAGTTGATAAAAACAAATGCAAGCAATAGTTAGTTTCAAGTAGATAAATCATTCTCTCAAACATCTCAGGCAATTTCAAGGCAAGACTGGATTGGATTACTTAGATTACGCCAAATCACACGAGGCTATCTGTCTAAGGGAAGAGATGCATTTGATAAGACACTGTAGGGGTTGTGCCTGAAATTAAGTGTAAGGTATGGCGAATCCTTGAATAGACGTTTAAGCGATTTAGCCCTACGTCTGAGATAACACAGAAGGATATACGTAAAAGACTCTTTTATTCAGAACTCAAAACAACTGAACTGAAAGCCCTAATATACATAAGAAAATATACATGTGATATATATTTTACTTGTCAAATGTTTATTTCTTTTCCAAGTGCAACATTTTCTTTTTGAAATATGAAGTTAATAAAATGGCAAAACCAAAGAACAGAATCTTTAAATATCTCTGGAGAATGAAATTAATGCCGAGATAGCGCAGTTAATGGAAGACGCTTTTGTATTATCCAGTGAGACGCATTCCGATGATCTCAGAGACCACGTGACTTATGTATAGTAATGTAAACAGTTAAAGTCATTATTCCTCTTCTCCTCTTTACGTCGTTGGCAATTTTCGTGTTCTAGTAGAAGTTATTGTCTTTCTTTCTGAAGATATCTGAGCATATATCATGCTCAAAATAGAAGTTAATAAATTAAATAAAGCGCTAGTGGCTGAAAATGCGTTAAAAATACAGTGTTTGAAGAATCAAACGCGCTAATATTTTTTTGGGAAGAAAAGCTGTGCGCACAGTAATGCAAAATTGGATCTCGAGAAGCGTCAGTTTTTCACATAAACACAATCCCGAATAAAACATCAAGGTAGTCTGGAAATCTGTACAAAATATCTTTCAGAAACCCTCATGGTTTGCTTTTATCTTTTGTAGGAATTAAGATTATGAGGAATCGTAAGATGTTTTATAGTCCCGTAAATTCTGCGGCCCTAAGTCCAGGCCTCTTGGCTTAGGCTGTAATCGGTCCTCACTTAAACTTCTACTTTTTCTTTTTCGTTTCCAATTTTTTTCAGTGAATCCATAATTTTCAATCAATTGCTTCAGGAAATACTTTGATGGTCAAAGTATTTCCTTACTTCAATTGTCTTATCAATGCCATATTTTTAGATTTCTTCTGAGTGATCCAATTTCTACGTAAGCTTCTTCTGAAGCTTACGTAGAAATTTGATTATTTGGCCTCTAACAGAAATTATTAACAGAAATACAATTTGGACTCAAATAGAAAAATCAGCAAATATTGATAAATATCGTGAACATATATAATGCAAAATTAGCATAAATTAATACTTTAATAAAATTACACGCCAATGTTTTATTTCAAAATTAATCCAGAAATTACCTTTGCTGATGCAACGGTTCTCCAGCTGATGACAGTACAGACAGATCCGTGAATGGAATTCTGAATTTTCGAAGTAAAGCCGCTAAACTGTTAAAAAGTGCATTATTATTAAATCATTTTAGTTTGCGATAAAAATGAGAGGAAAAAAAATAAACTTCCAAAGAAAATGTTTCGGAAAAATTTTTATAAAACATTTAAGTTTCTTCCTCTTACATAATAGGTGCTTTACAGTATTTTACACAGGTACATTATGAAAGCTTTGCATAACTCTTAAGAGTTGCTTGATACAGACTATTAATTTCATTCGTTCGAGTGGCATAAGATGCTAAATGATTTATTCCTAGATTCTTAGACCTTTATTCCTAGATTTGCTAATATTTAGTTCTGACTTAAACTCTGTTCTGCTCTTTTGAGGTCCTATCATAATATTCGCTCAGTAAGTTTATGCAAATTTCATTACAAATGCCATAGAAGGTTAATCTTTACCTGGATAATCAACAGCAGCTAACCGCAGGTAACCGCCCTGTTGAATGAGAATAGTACTTTCCTACTGTATTTATGAAAGGATAACACTTATTACTTACTTTGCCTTGGTAAGTTGATTTAAGCTGCCTTGGTAAACTGTTCGTTACTTTGTCTTAGTAAGCTGATACAGGCGATCCAACGTAGGCCATATAGTTTTCAGATTAATATGTTACTGTAAAACAATTGAAACATATCAACGAGAGAAGTCACCACACGTTGTGCTTTGTATAACGAAAAGCAATTGTTTTAGCTTGCGTTATAAGGTGTTTTCTCCCACTTTCCTAGCGTGCCTTCGTGGTGTAGTGATTCTGCACGCTGGGCCGGTATTCCAGAAGTCCGTGGTTCGATTCCCGGCGAAGGCCATCACTCAATTCTCATCTTGCCTGCCTCTAAAAAAATCCCAGTGTCTCTACAGTGTTATCATTTTAAGTTTGTGAAAACACCATAAATGGCCAATAAATATCTGTTTAATTTTGAGTTAGAATTATTTTTGTGTTATGAGCTAAAATGTTGCTAAGACTGATAATTCATCAAAGTTACAGACGAAAACTTCGTGCCGCGGACAACAATGTTGTGAAGAAAACAACGTTGAAGGATAAAAACATTGTCGTACAAAGCATCCTGGGAGAAAAGACAGTAAAGAGTAAATATCGCAGTTCTAAAAAAATTATGGTATAAAATATCGTAGTAGAAAATATAGTTCAAAAACTTTGTAGTTTCAAAACATCGTTGTATAAAATATCGTGCTAAAAATAAAGCATCTACAAATCATCGCAGACAATACGATAATTTTAAGCAATTTTAGTAGGTACCTTCATGCATATATATATAATTCCTTTTTTCTAATCCTTTTTATATTATATTCTTCAGAAAAAGGAACTGCTGTATAGAAGAAATTAATTAAATAACTTTAATAGTTAACTATGTTAATTACCTACATATTTTCATTTTTTGAACGCTTAAATTTCCTTCTTGTTTTCCCCTCAAAAATTTATTAGTCTATCCAAAAATACGAAATATAGAGGAAAAAGTATTCCACCATTCCTTCTTGCGTTCCCAGTCATTATACGAACACACATTTAAAACGTTTTAAGTATGCGTCATACGTGTGCGATGTTACCAACATGCGATGATTTGCAGGTGCTTGATTTTTTACCAAGCTATTTATTTCGACGATGTTTTAAAACTGCGAAGATTTGTAACTGCTTTATTTTATACCACGATGTTTTAGAAGTGTAACGTTTTGTTCTTGTTTTTATTCTCTCCTACTATGTTTTGTACGACGATATTTTCCTCTTTTGTTGCTTTCTATGTGCCGTTTTCATCCGAGATTTTTTTTGGTGGTTTATTTTCGATAGACATCCTCTTCAGACCAGTTAAATAAGTTTGCGATTAGTCATTAGGTTGTAACACCAGTTTTAAGTTAATTTCACACGGCAGAATCTACAAAAATCCCGCGAGAAAGATAAGAAATGTAATGATTTTGAATTATTATTGTTAATATCTTTAAAATTTGCTTCCCCTTCATCTTAATTTTTCAGAATACATATTTTTCAATTAATGGAGGCTCATACTGATTGTTATTGCTTATAATCACTTGCTGCAAAATTTAATTCTTATAGGTACTCTTTTATTACATATTCTAGACACAGTAGTTAAAAAAATCAAAAAAAGAAAAATATTGAAAGGCTTCAGATTTTAAAGATCGCCTAAACTAACTTATTAAGGCTTTTTAATCCTTCGATGAGTTCGCAGTCCACCAGTTTGATGTTGCACGCATTCCCACTAACTCATTACCGTTTTGTGTGTTGACTTTATTTATTAAATATCATATTCTTTGCCCTTACGACACATTAACTTCAGTTTAACAACAAAATCACAAAATATTTCAGAACAGCATATCTTTAGAATTTCCGATACACAGTCTCGCGCGATGGAGGTAAAAATGTTTTATTCCGTACAGTGTTGCTCGCATTCAGATCGATTAGTCTGCTAAAAAAAATTAAAGTTTTGCAAAGAAATCAAGTTTTCAAAAATTAAAAAATTTGGACTTCCAGGTGCACGTATTCGGGTGGAGAACTACATTATTAAAAATTTGGTGCTTGTACAAATATAAGATGAAATTAGAAGATGTATAGCTGAATAAAAGAATATTATTTCAATAAATTTTATGTGCCCAGAATATATTTAAGCAGTGAATAGAGAAATATCTCCCCATCGCGAATTAAGATATGTTTTGTATCAGTATATTATGGGTTGATATTTATAAACTATGCAAATGCAGAACACAAGAAAAAAGAATAATTCTTAACTCTGAAATTAAATTTAAATTACCGTATAATTGCAGTGATTTGCATCATGCACTGTTAACAGAAATTCGTATTTTCTGAATGGAATGTTTAAAAGATTTGCTAGTTTATATCGTATTGGGATTTTAATATTACTAATAGTCTTGAACAACAGAAACAAAAGTATTTTATTGTAATTTATTAATACAAACTATAGATGCAGCATTAAAGAATTATCATATTTTGATGAAATAAAATCCGAAGAATAAAAAGAAAATACTTTAAATTAAGAGTTCACCAGTAAGCATTTAACACAGTGTACTATAGAAAGATAATACAAATAAATATCTCTTGAACAGCTTTTTGTAGACTCTCAGTTTTCAGCATAAAAATGAATCAATTCAGTCAATTAAACAGTTATGCCAGTAAAAAAATCGATTTAGGACAATAAAAAATACAATAAAAAATCGATTTAGGATGCCATTAAAAAGAGATTTAAGTTATTGAGTGTACAAAATATTCCAAATGTTTTTACTAACAGGAGTCTACAAATATGAATTTGAAATTTTTACTTAGATCGTTATATACACTGACTACCAATAAGTATTTGGACACCTATGATAGAAAGGAAAAACGAACTTTATTCAAAATCAATAGTTGGTAGAACCTCCACGAGAGGTAATTACAGCGTGGACCCTCCGGGGCATACTTTTCACAAGTCTTTGTATCATAGCTAGTGGTATTTTCTTCCACTTGTCTTAGAGAAGACATAGAGTTCCTTCACCGATTTTGCACGGGTAGTGCACCCCTGAATTCGGCGATGCAACTCGTCCCAGACGTTCTCGATAGAGTTCAGGTCTGGACTCTGGGCAGGCCAGTCCATTCGATGAACTCCATTGGCACCATACCAAGCTTTGGTTAACGTCGAAACATGACAACTGGCATTGTCGTTCTGAAAGTAACAGGGGTCCAACCTGTAAAACTGCCACAACGTAGGAAGCACATTGTCATCCAAAATAGTGCAGTAGGCATCGGAGTTGAGCTTACCATGAATGGGGCCCAAGGGTCCCAGTCCATACTAGGAGAAACAGCCCCAGACCATAATTCCACCTCCGCCGAACTTGACTGTTGGCACAATGCATTCTAGCAGGAGACGTTCTCCAGGTAGAAGCCAGACCCAGACCCTGCCATCCGAACGGTAAAGGGTGAACCTTGATTCGTCACTCCAAAGAACCCGTTTCCACTGATCTACGATCCAATTCCGATGTGCTTTGCACCACATCATTAGCCGAGCAGCGCGGTTGGACTTTGTGATCAAAGGCTTATGGGCAGCAGCACGACCATGAAACCAAACAGAACAGATGTGCTTCCTTATGGATGCTATTCATTGAAACAATACTCTCGGATGCCTGTTGAAACTCCTCGCGGATGAGGGCCATCAGTTGGGTGCCGTTCTTCCGAATTTCTCTTGACAGTACTCATCGGTCTCTATCTCCCAGTTTCGTTGGTCTGCCGACTCGGGGCACATTCCAACAATTACCACTCACCTTCCACTTCTTAATCACATAGGCCACTGTCGATTTTGGGTACTTCAGATCGCTAGATCTGTCCCTTAAGGATCGGCCACATTTGTGATACCCGATAATTATACCTTTCTCGAAATCAGAAAGCTCCGAACTGCGAGGCATCTTGCATGCGACTAAAGCCGATGCTTTTTCCTACACGATATATACCGGGGGAGTCCGTGACGTACCTTAGGACCGCAGATATCGTCATGTGCATAGGTGTCCAACTACGTTTTGGTAGTCAGCGTATTTCTGACTTAAAAAATACCTTTCATAAATTTGTATAAAATTACTTATCTGTGGCAATATTTATATATGATTCCCTAAAATGCTGACCTATTTGAACGATATCTTCGGTAATTCTTACGATATAAGGAAAGATGTATTTTATTTAACCAATTTGGTTCTGGGGAGACGTTTTCACATTGACACTTTTCTCGTACGATTTGTACATACTAATTGAAATTTCTTGCAATTTTACAAAAGGTATCATGCGTCTAAAACTAGCCTAATCTGATAGCCATTTTATTTGGATTAATTGGATGGATTATTTAGGTTACAGCAAAAGCAAAGTCTATGGAAAGGAATGCCTTCGTAAGGAAACTTTTTAAGAGAAACTGGTTAGTATCCACGGAAAAAGCTACATGGGAAAGCCATGAGAACTCCCAAGTGTATTCTGAGAAGTTTGAACTCAAGTAGAACTACTAGT